CGATAAGAATTTATTGAAATATCAATTTGGGCCCAAACAGGTTTGGCCAATGATACTGTGGCAAGTTCAGCCCATGTAACGCATAAAAAGTTGTAAAATGAGCGGTCAAATCTGACGTTGCATGCTTTATGACATCAAAATTAAGCTGATTCCAATGGGGGCCAAACTTACCAGAATGCCTATCCGAACTAACCCCATGGCAGAGCTCTTTCGGACAATAATGTTCAAAAACGGACGTGCTGCCATACTTCCCAGAACGGACTATAATAACAATAGGCCCAGAGGGCCTGTATCGCTCACCTGAATATGTTTAAAATAATTGGTATGAAGAAAGAAGTAAAGTTATAGCACTCGATGGTAGGTGCTGTAAGTACATATGACATTTCAGAAAGATCCATCCATTACTTGAGATATAGTGAGAACAAACTTCAAACAGAGCCCCACCCCTATGCCCCTAGGGGGGTCATACCCACCAATTATACAAAATTGAGTCCCCTTGACCCAAGGATGCTCCAGACTAAATTATGATAAAATCCCTTAATCCTGATGGTCAAAGAAGGATTTTAAAGGTTTTACCTCTATATCTCCTATTGGGCCCCGCCCTTCTGTCCCCTGGGAGACCACACCCACTGCGTATACAAAACTGAGTCCCCTTGGCCCAAAGATGCTCCAGACGAAATTAGGATAAAATCCCATAATCCCTATGGTAGAAGAAGGATTTAAAAGGTTTTACCTCAATTTCCCCTATTGGGCCCCACCTCCCTGCCTCCAGTGGGGTTAGACACACCGTTTATACAAAATTGGTCCCCTTCACCCAAGGATGCTCCACACCAAATATGGAACAGGGCCAGACCCACCACTATACAAAATTGGTTCCCCTTTATCCAAGGATGCTCAGGACCAAATCCTTTCATTCCTACGTATACAGAAGAAGAAGGATTTTAAAGAATAATTTGCTATGTTTCCCCTATTGGTCCCCGCCCCTCAGGCCCCTGGGGGGCCAGACCAACAGTTTATACAAAATTGGTTCCCCTTCACCCACGAATGCTTCAGACCAAATATGGAACAAATCCTTTCATTCCTACAGAAGAAGAAGGATTTTAAAGAATTTGTTATATTTCCGCTATTGAACCCTGCTGCCGCTCAGCCCCCACGGGGGCCAGACCCACCGTTTATACAAAATTGGTTCCCTTCACCCAAGAATCCTTCAGACCAAATATGGACCAAATCCTTTCATTCCTACAGAAGAAGAAGGATTTTAAAGAATTTGCTATGTTTCCCCTATTGGGCCCCTCCCCTCAGGCCCCTGGGGGCCAGACCAACAGTTTATACAAAACTGGTTCCCCTTCACCAAAGGATGATCCACACCAAATATGGAACAAATCCTTTCATTCCTACAGAAGAAGAAGGATTTTAAAGAACTTGCTATATTTCCCCTATTGGGCCCTGCCCCTCAGGCCCCAGGCGGGGCCAGACCCACCATTATACAAAATTGTTTCCCCTTCACCCAAGGATGCTTCTGACCAAATTTGGTCAAAATTTGCACAGTCGTTCATGACTAGTAGCATTTTTAAGGAAAAGTTGACGGACGCTGCGGTATGGCATTAACTCACCATGGTCCTTTGGACAAGGAGAGCTAAAAATGGGTCGAACTTGCCCCGGTCTCCCCTATTGTTATGTCGGTCTTAATCTCATTAGAGCTTGTTTTTTATTGTTAATTCTAGACTAGCCAACTTTAAATAAAGTTTATCTTATCTCATTCTGAAAGCAGTATTCTGAATCAGTAAATATCAGAGATCAATAAAAGCTACGCTCTTTTAAGGCTTTGCCTTTTCATATAATAGCATTGCAATACTGAAAAACACATGCAATAGTCACCCCTAATTATTTATATATATATATATTATAAAAAGAAAAATTCTTAACGAGTCTTTAGTACTTTCATCTCTTCAAGGAGATTCTTCAGACTGTTTATTTTGAAGTATATGTTGTGACGTCATAAACTATGACGTCACATAATAGTTCGCTATAACAACGTCCGCCATATATATATAGTATTTTCACAAACATCAGCACTGAGATGTGGCTGAGTGTATTTTTTTTTTTTAACGTCCTATTAACAGCCAAGGTTATGGACATGCTTATGTGTCATTATGTACATGTGTGTTTGTGTGCATGCATACTAGAGGCAGTTACAGGTATAAAACAAGTAATTATACAATAGTTATACGCAAATTTACCAATCTTACACTGTATTTATATGTCCAAGTTGGCTATACTCTTTTACTTCATTTCGGAAGAGTATACATACATATGCATGCCCCCATAATATACCACGATATTACTTAATCACACGACTTTTGTTCTGGAACCTTGTATCTTGGAAATGACATATTAGATATAGGCCCTAGTAGCTTGCATGTTTTTTTAAAATCCAAATTTAGTCTATAATACGAAAAAGAATTTCGTCTTTCTCACATTGGAACAGCTTCAGCAAATCCTGTATAACAAGAGGCCCAGAGGGCCTGTATCGCTCACCTGGATATCTAAGCAATCATGGCAAAATATTCTCCAAATGAGATCCAAGGGAATATGCCAGACCTCAAGGCCAATCCTTGTAGCATATCTGTTTTTGATTTTTTATGCCCAGCAATTTTATGTATGGTAATGGGGTGGGGATCTCAACTGTTTCCAAGCTGTGACTCAGAAACTAGGTCCCTAGGGTTGTGGCCAGACCCCAGGATCGATTCTAATATCATGACTGCATTTGTCTCTTTTTGCCCTGCATTTGTATATATAGTTTTGGGGTGGGGATCTCAACCATTTCAAAGTTATGACCCAGGGGTTAAGTCTCCAAGGGTGGGGCCAGACCCTAGGGCCATCCTGGAAGCAAATGTGCATTCCTCTCGTTATACTCAGCAATTGTATAAATGGTAATATGGTGGGGATCTCAACCATTTCGAAGTAAAAAAATAAATTTTGGACCCACCCCTTAGCCCGGGGGGTCAGCCCCACCATTTGTACAATTTTGAATCCCTGCCTCCCATGAATGCTTCCGACCAAATATGATCAATATCCATGGTATAGTTTAGAGCAATATAGCCAAATTTCCCCCTTTTGGCCCAGCCCTCAGCCCCCTGGGGGGTCAGCCCAACCATTTGTACAATTTTGAATCCACACCACCTAGGGATGCTTCCAGTGAAATATGGTTGATATCCATCTCTTAGTTCCAGAGAGGAAGTCGCTTAAAGCAATATAGCTAAATAACCCTTTTTGGCCCCGCCCCTCAGCCCCCACAGGGGTCAGCCCCACCATTTGTACAATTTTGAATCCCTGCCTCCTATGAATGCTTTTGATTAAATATGATTGATATCCAGTGCACAGTTCTACAGAAGAAGTCGTTTGTAGCAATATAGTCAAAATGCCCCCTTTTGGCCCCGCCCCTCAGCCCCCTGGGGGGTCAGCCCAACCATTTGTACAATTTTGAATCCACACCACCTAGGGATGCTTCCAATTAAATATGGTTGATATCCTACTCTTAGTTCCAGAGAAGATGTCGCTTAAAGCAATATAGCCAAATTGCCCCCTTATTGCCCCGCCCCTCAGCCCCCTGGGGGGTCAGCCCCATCATTTGTACAATTTTGAATCCCCACCACCTAGGGATGCTTCCAGTCAAATTAAGTTAAATTCCAATAAGTGGTTAAGAAGAAGAAGTCGTTTAAAGAAATTGTTGACGGACGCCACGGTATGGCATAAGCTCACCTTGGTCCTTTGGACCCGGTGAGCTAATAAACAGTTAAATAAAGAAATTTCTATTCAGACATATCAACTGATAATTTCATTAGAATATGGCTGAAATTGTACACCAATAGAAATGTTATATATTTGCATTGGGTCACAGACATGTAGGGTAGACTTGATTATTTTGTTTCAATAATTAGTTGCAGCCACTATTTTCATTGTTATATATATACAAATTGTACAGTGGAAGTTGCACTTTTGCAAGTTTCAATCTCCCTTTTTCACGCCTCTGCAATAGGACCAACGAGGCCATTAAAACGTCAATTTTGATGGAGCCCCCGTACAGTAAAGAAGAAGGTCCAATATAATATGCATACCGTGTACTTGTAATCAGTAATTCACAGGTCCCTGTGGGGTGATTACAGAGAAAATTCACCAAATCAGAGTTTATAATGATTTCATATTTGAACAGTATTTGTTAATATTTTAGACATGTATTAGGCCTTGAAGAAAGTGAGACACAGTTATCTTGTCTCTGTGTACGGATACTAGGCCTAATGGCCCGTGACCCCGGTCGTCAATGTTGACATGCGAATTTGGTAGTGTAGATACGTGCAAAACTAATTTAGTAAACAAACTTAACCGTATTTCATAAGTAAATAAACCCATCTCAACCACAAATGAATTGTAAACCTCATATACTCATCCTAAAATAACGTCTTCTAGCTAAAAAGTAGGCACACACCACCATAAGAGCAGAGGAATGTCTTTACGTTCCTATGCAGTTTGGGTTACAGTCCAACCTGTAGCCATTCAAGTTGGAATGTTTATTGTAATTGTGAGCAGGATTGTATTGGAATTGCAACTGAATTGTGTAAATGAGTACGACTCATATTTGTTCAATATATGGAGACGACAAATAAATTAGTGTGCATTGTCCAGATCATGTAAAAGCCTGTGTAAATTACTGTTATTTACGGGACGTATGTGCCGATTTTTTCATTCTGGTCTACCCCTCAGTCGGGAGCAAACTCGGTCATGGCCTTCACCCACAAATATAAACATGACGATATTTCCCCCAATTTTAACTCTACAACACGAAGCTATACGATAAAATGACGAACAGGATATCAATATTTTTGTATATAACAAACATAGCTATTGATTTGCATGGAACAACACAGCGCACTATATCTTGTAGCGGAAGTAGATCTGACATACGGTTCGCCATGTTCGACCACTTGCACCCAAACACTTACCATTTTCCGATGGAGGAAACGTATTAAGTTGTTCGTCATCTCGTTGAACTTGTGTTATTATGGACGAAGTGTCCATGTATAGCTTCCGGAAATCCTGTAAACGACGTCGTGGTTAATTCTTATATAACGAAACTGAGCAACAAACTTCTAAAATATTCAACATGGATGAATACAAGCTTGACTCGACCATGATGGCGTACGAAGTGTTATTTCTATCTCATGCATACTAATGAGCTAGTATAGTTTTCTGCTAGACAGTCTATTTTTACAAGAACAGACATATGTTTACATTTCATTTTATCACCGAATTAAAGTTTCGTGTGATTTGAATACTTCTGCCATGTTAGATTTTTTTTTATTTGTCATTTTATTGATTTAACGAACCTGGTATCATTTTACGCGCGAAAACGTAAACCATTCAGATCGAATTTACTTACCCAATCAACCAATCAAAAGAGTTGTCTTAAACTTGTCAACACTGCGCTATGTTTACATCTCTCACATCTGTTCAGCTTAACCGGTTAACTGTTGAAAGCGCAAGAGGACAATTGAATGCAAACATAATGCAAAAACACTAGGAGGAAAACGTTTTCTTTTTAAGCAGATTAGATATATGCAAAGCCCTGCAACAAAGATACTCGATTAACACGAAAAGGTTAAAGGTCAACAATGTTCTGGCATGTTTCCAACGTAATGAAATCCCTACTACTTCAACGAGGACTTATACGTATATATATATATATATATATATTACAGCTCCCTTCCAGTGTGTCTTTTCAACAAAAGTAAGATGATCATTAATTTTCATATCGATGTTGAGACCCTATCTTAGAAAGGCCTAACTTATATCAAATTGTTATATGTAGTACTACGGAATGAGATTTGTTATTTAGTCAGTGGTAATACATCTACTTAATATTGTAAAGGACATTTATGATTCTTCTAATTTCAATTTTATCTCACTTGGCCCTTCGAATTCGAGGCCAAGTGAGCTTATATTATGCGGTGATGCGACGTCTGGCTTCAATATTTTGCTTTCAAACAAACTTCTTCTCAATAACCAAAATGCCAAGGGTGATGATATTTGGCCAGAAGCAAACTGGGATGAAGGGCTACCAAGTTTGTTCAAATAAATGACCTTCACCTATTTTCAAGGTCACACGTGTCAAATAAGTTAAAAACTTTAAACAACTTCTCAATAACCAAAATGCCAAGGGAGATGATTTTTGGCCAGAAGCAAACTGGGATGAAGGGCTACACATGTACAGTTTGTTCAAATGAATGACCTTCACCTATTTTCAGGGTCACATGTGTCAAATAAGTTAAAAAAATCAACAACAAAAATCTCAATAACCAAAATGCCCAGGGAGATGATATTTGGCCAGCACCATGCTTGGGTGAAGGGCTTCCAAGTTTGTTCAAATGAATGACCGTCACCCATATTCAAGGTCACAGGGTCAATTGTCTAAAAAAACCTTTAAACAACTTCTTTAGGATAACCAAAATGCCCAGGGAGATACTATTTGGCCAGTAGCGTGCTGGGTTGAAGGGCTACCAAGTTTGTTCAAATGAACAACCTTGACATTTATTCAAGGTCACAGGTGTCAAATATGTTGAAAATCTTTAAATGACATCTTCTGAATAACCAAAATGCCCAGGATGTTGATATTTAGTCAGTAGCATACTAGGATGAAGGGCTACCAAGTTTGTTTATATGTATGACATTGAATCATATTCAAGGTAACAAGGAGCAAATATTTTCAAAATCTTTAAACAACTTGTTCTGAATTATCAAAAGGTCAGGATGATGATATCTAGTCAGTAGCATGCTGGGATCAAGGGCTACTATGTTTGTTAAAGTGAATGACTTTGACTTATATTCAAGGTCACAGAGGTCAAATTTGTTTAAAATCTTTAAACAACCTCTTCTGAATAACCATGGGTTATTGAATATTGGAATGTTGATATTTTGCAAGTTGCATCCTGAGATGAAAGGCTATAAAATTTGTTCAACATAATGACCTTGTTCGACTTTCAAGGTCACAGGGGTGAAATGTTTTAAAATCTTTTAACAGGTTCTTTTGAATGAATTTTAATCATAAATACTGATATTTTGCCTGTAGCTTTATTTTAGATCACTTTTAAGGTTACAAGTGTGAGATTTATACCAGGTGAGCGATGCAGGCCCATTGGGCCTCTTGTTGTAACATGTGATCCCACCAAGGAATTAGATTATCTAAGCATGTCATCCCCAAACCCCACTAGCCCAATATTGCGGACCAGGGATTTAATTAGCACCACCACCACACCTGATCGAGAAAAGTATACATGTTGTTACCCACTGCATGTTTCGTAAGAAGTTATTGGTGTGCACGTGGAGAACCCAGAGATTTGCTTTTAAACCAGGCATGGGGTACAAAATTTGTACCCTCTATTTAATTGGGGACACAAAAGCACCGACGGTTGCAACCCGTTGTAATATTTGGGATGTTTATATTTGTTCTCCTCTATCCATGGGGTATCGTCGAACCACGTCCCCAAGCTTCTCAGCCTCCGCCGTTCTAACCTATTGAGCTGAAGGGGAAATTCCATATAGCGTGAAGCCTTAGCTATAAGGCGACCGTACAATGTATGTACAATGAAAATCTGTTGCACTACCCTCAACAACCCCCACACCCCCTGCCAGCTTTTTGTACCCCCGTAACGAAGTTATGGGGTATACTGTATAATCAGCTTGTCAGTCTGTCTGTCTGTCCATTGAAAAAGTTTGTCTGGACAACTCCTTCTAAAGTATAATGGACCAATTTCAACAAAACTTTCCAGATATGATAGCTACCACCTGGTTTTGTGCATCCAGGTATTATTTTTTCATTCTGACATTTTTTTTAACAAAGTTATGGCCCTTTGTTAGGTCACCTGAGCTTTGCTCAAGTGACCTATTCTAATCGCTTTCCGTCCGTCGCCGTCCGTCGTCCGTCGTGATTTCCACATCACATCTAATATATACAGATATGATGACTACCACCTGATTTTGTGCATCCAGGTATTATTTTTTCAATCTGACCCTTTTTTACGGAGTAATGACCATTTGTTGAAAAAGACTTGTCCAGACAACTCCTCCAAAACTATGGGGCCAATTTCAACGAAACTTTTCAGATATGATAACTACCCCCTGATGTTGTGCATCCAGGTATTTTTTTTCCGACCCTTTTTTATGGAGTTATGGCCCTTTGTTGAAAAATCCTTGTCCTGAAAACTTCTCCTAATCTACTGGGCCAATTTCAAAGAAAGTTTACAGATATGGTAACTGCCCCCTGACGTTGTGCATCCAAGTAGTACTTTTTCATTCCGACCCTTTTAAAAGGAGTTATGGCCCTTTGTTGAAAAAGCCTTTGACTGCTTCCTAAACTACTGGGCTGATTTCAATGAACGTTTACAGGTATGGTAATTACCCCTGATGTCGTGCATCAGGGTACCCTATTATTTGTTCATTTCCACCCTTTTTAAGGAGTTATGGACGTTTGTTAAAAATCTTTCTCCTGAGGACTACCTTTGCTACTAGGACGATTTCAGCAAAACTGGTTCATCAAGATTTGGTTTGGTGTTGGGAGGAAGTATATGCAGTATGTCAGTGACCTATATACTTCAATAAGTGTACAGCTTAGGGAGC